AGCCTACTTCACACTGATGCTGACCTGCTTCCCACTCCTCCCAGCCTGCTTCACAATGATGCTGATTTGCTGCATATTCCTCCCAGTTTGCTTCACAGTGGAGTCATACACTTATGTACAAGGAACAAGAGTAGGCCACTCAGTTGTTTGAACCTGTTCCACCATGCAATAAAATTACAGATGATCTGATTTTAACTTCAAATGTATATTCCTGAATATCTCTGATTATCTTTCATTCCATGGGTAATCAAGAATCTATCTATCTGTGCCTTAAAAAATATTTACAGATTCTGCATCCGTTGCCTTTTGAGGAAGGAAATTCCCAAGACTCACAACCCCCTAAGAGAAAATAATGTTTCCTCATCTCTAACTTAAATGGGCAACCCCTCATTTTTAAACTATGCCCCCTAGTTCTAAATTCTCCCTCAGAAAGAAACATCCTTCCAACATCTCCCCACTCAAGTCCCCTCAGGATCTTATATGTTTTAATGAACTCACCTTTGACTCTTCTAAACTCCCGAGGATGCAGGCCTAACCTGTCTAGCCTTTCCTCATGAGACAATCTGCTCATTCCAGATATTAGTCTAATAAGCCATCTCTGAAATGCTTTCAAATCATTAACATCCTTCCATTAGTACAGTGACTAGTATTGTATGTAGTACCTCAGATGTGATCAAACTAAGATTCATTTTCTCTGTCATACACTTGCAAACTCTGAATGCAATGAAATATTTTTGTTTAACGCTGATTGTTCTTTTGTTGGTTCCTTTCAGGAAATTCCTGTACCGTATTTCATGGACAAACCCGAATATGAATGGACTGAGGAGCAGGTCAAACAAGCTAAAGAATATGCCATCAAAGAGCAGGAATTAAATGAAGAGAAGGACAAGTATCGAAAGGTATATGAGCACAAGAAGCTGATGAAGTAGAACAGCAGACCCCTTACTTATACCTAAGGATTTGTCATCTGTATTAAAATTCCCTCTTCTCAGCATTTTCTGTGAGAGTTGCAACATGCAAGCATTTTTGCATATTGAGCATTTGCACAGCACCTATAATACAATAAAATATCCCAAGGAGTTTCACTGGAGCACTAACAAACTGAACTTAGACAGGAGCCACGTAAGAGATATTAGGGCAGACCAACATCTTGGGTCAAAGGGGTGGGTTTTAAGGATCATTTTAAGAAGAAGGAGGAAAGAGAGCTGATGAGATTTAAGAAGGAATTCCAGAGCTTTGGACCCAGGTTGCTGAAAGCACAGTGATTAAGTGATTAACATCCAGGAATGCTGACAAAGTTGGAATTAGAGGTACACTGAGGTCTTGAAATGCTCTATGTTTTAAGTTGATTACAGAAGTAGGGCAGGGGAAAGCCATGAGGAGATTTGAAAGCCAGGCTAATAACTTAATAAAAAAGAGACTTTGTTTTATTAAGAGCTGACATTTGTGATTGGTGAATGAAGCTTGGTGTGAGGTAGGACATTGGTAATTGATATTTAGATTTACTCAAATACATGTAGCCCATGAAATAAAAAGAGAAATTGCTGGAAAATCTCAGAAGGTCTGGCAGCATCTGTAGAGAGAAATCAGAGTTAACATTTTGGGTCTTTGGGAGCTTTATTTTCTATTTAAAAGAGTAGAGGGAGCTTTACTCTGTATCTAACCTATGATGTACTTGTCCTGGGAGTATTTGATGTGGATAGTATAAAGGGTTCTGATAGTGGTCAGGAGACAGATGAAGTTAGTAGTTAGAGAACAGAGTTTGTGGCAGGTATTGAAGGCAATGACTTAGTCATTCCTGAGTTTCTGTTCATCCAGTAGTGAATGTCAGAGAAGGACTGTGACAAATCAAAAGTTGTGGAAGTGTCATGCAAGTGGGAATGAGGTTGGATTGCATGAAGAACTTGTACAGACAGACAAATTAGGAGCAGGAGTAGACCATTCAGCCCCTCAAGCGTGTTCCACCATTCAATAAGATTAAGGCCTCAACTATACTTTCTTCCCTATCCCAGTATCATTTGACTGTCTTGTTAGTCAACTGGTCAGTCAATGCTGCCAAGAGGCAGGATGTAGATGTGAAGTAGGAGGCAAAGGATAGATCCTGGAGACCCTTAGTGCTAATGATGCATGAACAGGAAGAATCTCTCCCTATGGCTGCATGGAAAAGAATGGATGGTGAGTGAGCATGGGAGTTCCACCAAGCTGTATGTAGTGGAGAGCTGGACAATGGTGTTGTCAACTGGGGCAGGGGTTGAAGACCACTCAACAAGGACAAGGCGAGAAAATTTACCTTTGTCACATTCACAAAAGATGCCATTTCTGACTTTGATGATGAGATTTTATATTTGGCAGGAACAGAAACAGTTTAAAAGGATTCCAGGAAAAACGTCTGCGGATTGCGAGGCATCTGCATATTCATGGACTTTGGAAAGAAGAAGGTTAAAAATGAGCAGATTTTTTAAGGACTTTTGATAGTTGGCTTTTTGATAGAGATGATGATGGCAGATTTAAAGTGAAGGTGGGGGTAAGGAAGAATCATACCCAAGGACAGACAAACCTGAACAGAATCGACTAAACATGGGGAAGGGTTCAGTGAGAATGAGGTTCAGGGAACAGAAGGTGGATCCATGAGCTTGGTGAGGTCATTATGGAAGGTAGGAGAAAAACTAGAGAAAAGTGAGAGTTCAAGATGAGGAGTAAGGTGATGTATCCGTGCTGTATGACTCTATGACTATGTTAGGTCTGATGAGTTTAGGTAAAGGAGGAAAGCACCAGACCAGTTGATGGGCTGGTTTTAATCCTATTGAAAAGGTATGCATGAGATCCTTGCACTATCCCTAAATCTGACGAGAATTAGTAGTAATTCTCTGAGCTCAACTCCATGGGATAGGAGGGGAATACTAACTGGACTTAGGGCTCTTAATCCATAACCAGTCATTGCTACTGATGTGTGTGTATATGTATAGCTGTACATATATATGTGAGTGTTTGTGTGTGAGTCTGTGTTTGTTGTTTATGTGGTTGTACCTAACATGTTCTTTCATGCTATGGGAGAACTAATTTCTCATATTTTACAGACACTGGAGTCTGAGCTGAAGAAATTACAGAGTTCAATTGCAGAAAGCAGAAACAATTTTGATGATATTATGAACAAACTGTTTGAAAAAAAAGTGAGAACGGAAATGATCATCTACCAGGTAAGTCCTCACAAACATCTCTTTCACTGCCATCACCAAGCCAGCCTAACCCCGGACCATTCAACATCAGCTCCACATTTAGTATCAAACCACTCTCTGCCTAGTGACAGCTTCACCCAAACTAGTAATAGAATCCAATTTAACCCCATGCAATACCTGGGAATGTCTAATGGAGACAGTGTAAAGAGAACTTTCCTTTTAGTTTACAAGAGTAGAGGGACCTTTGCTGTGTATCTAACCCCATGCTGTTCCCTGTCCTCAGAGTGTTTGATGGGGACCATGTGGTGGGAGGTTTACTTTCTATTTAAAAGAGTAGAGAGAGTTTTGCTCTGTATCTAATCCTGTACTGTACCTGTCCTGGGAGTGCTTGATGGGGACAGTGTAGAGGGAACTTCCCTTTCAGTTTAAACGAGTAGAGAGTGCTTTATTCTGAATCTACCCCGAAGTTGTTCCCTGTCCTGGAGTGTTTAATGGAGGCAGTGTCAAGAGAGCCTTACTTTTAGTTTAAAAGAGCAGTGGGAGCTTTACTCTGTATATAAATTCAAGCTGTCCCGGGATTATTTGATTGGGACCATGTTGCGGGAGCTTTATTTAAAAGAATAGAGGGAGCCTTACTCTGTATCTAACCTATGATGTACTTGTCCTGGGAGTATTTGATGTGGATAGTATAAAGAACGTTTTATTCTGTATCTAACCCTGTGCTCTATCTATCCTGGGAGAGTTTGTTGAGAACAATGTTGAGATGACTTTACTTACAGTTTAAAAGAGTAGGGAGATCTTTCCTTTCAGTTTAAAAGAGTAGAGGGATATCCAACGCCATGCTATCCCTGTCCTTGGAGTGTTTGATGGGGAAAGAGTCAGGAGAGCTTTACTTTCAGTCTACCTTCAGTTCAAAAGAACAGAGGGAGCAATACTCAGTTATCTAACAGTGCACTTTCTGTTCTGGCAGACTTTGATGGTGATGGTGTAGTGGTAGCTTTACTCTGTTATTAACCCCATTGCTGACCGTGTCCTGGGAGTGTTTGATCAGGACTAAGTAGAGGAAACTTGCCTTTCAGTTTAAAAGAGTAGAGAGTGCTTTGCTCTGTATCTAACCTCATACTGTTCCCTGTCCTGGGAGTGTTTACTGGAGGTAGTGTCAAGAGAGACTTACTTTCAGCTTCATTCAGTCTTTAACCTCATTGCTGTCCCTGTTCTGGGAATGTTTGATGGGGACAGTGTAGAGGAAACTTGCCTTTCAGTTTAAAGGAGTTGTAGTCTGTATCTAAACCCATGCTGCCCCTGACCTGGGAGTGTTTAATGGGGACCGGGTGAAAGGACCTTTACTTACCTTGTAAAGAGTAGAGGGAGCTTTACTCTGTATCTAACCCCATGATGTACTTGTCCTGGGAGTATTTGATGTGAACAGTATAGAGGGAGTTTTACTCTGTATCTAAACCTGTGCTATACCTGTCCTTGCAATGTTTGATGGGGACAGTGTCAGGAAAGCTTTACTCTGTAGTTAGCCTCGTGTTGTACCTGTCCTGCAAGTGTTTGATGGGGACAGTGTTGAGGGAGTTAAAAGAGTCATGGGAACTTTAGTCTCAATCTAACCCCATACTGTCCCTACCCTGGGTGGGTGTGATGGTAACAGTAACAGGAGAGCTTTACTTTCAATTTACTTTCAGATTAAAAGAGTAGAGGGAACTTTACTCTATATCTAACCCTGAAAGGGAACTTACCTTTCAGTTTAAAAGCATAAGGAGTACTTTACTCTGTATCTAACCCCATGCTGTTCCCTGTCCAGGAAGTGTTTGATGGGGACAAGAGGGAATTTTCATATTAAAAGAGTAGAGGAGGCTTTACTTTCAGTTTTAAAAAAAGATTCAAGGGAGATTTAACTGTGTGCTGTATCTTGGATAATGCAGAGGGTAATTTAGTGACTATCTAACTCCATGATGAACATGGAAAATGGCCAATTACTCAATTTACTCAATATCTCATCCCATGCTGTACCTGTCCTTTACTATTTGATGACGAACACTGTAAAGTGAGCTTCACTCCATCTAACCCCATGCTGTCCCTGTCCTAGGGTGTGTTTGATGAGGACAGTGTCGAGGGAGTTACTTTCAGTTTAAAAGAGTAAAGAGAGTTCTATTTTATATTTAACCTGTACCTATCCTGGGAGTGTTTGATCAGGCAGAGGAAGCTCTATGTTAATTGTATGTATTATGGTTTTATATATATAAGGGTGGAGAGCATTGACTGAGTGCTTGAGCACATAAAGATCCACTGGCAGGGCAGTATAGAAACAGGTTATACAGCTGTAATGATCACTTTGAATAAATCCAAAATGATTGATTTCTGGTGTCTTTCTTCATGAACTGACTGTTGGATGTTTAACATTGCTCTATATCTTACCCCGTGCTGTTTCTGTTCTTGGGAGTGTTTGATGGTGATGGTGTTGAGGAAGCTTTATTCTGTATCTCACCCCATGCTGCAGTGTCCTGGCAGTGTTTGATGGGAACAGTGTAGCTTTACTTTGTATCTAACTCTGTGCTGTACATGTTCTGTACCTGTACCTGTACTGTACAGTACCTGTACTGATTGATGGGGACATTGTAAAGCAGCTTTACCCTGTATCTCACCCCGTGCCATGCTGACCTGGCAGTGTTTGATAGGGACAGTGTAGAGGGAACTTCCCTTTCAGTTTAAAAGAGTAGGGAGTACTTTACTCTGTATCTAAACCCATGCTGTGATTAGATTCCTTCCAAGAATAAGTAGAGGCAACTGTTTGTTCGCGTGATTATACTTGAAATTATGTGGTGGTGTCCTGGATTGCAGCTTGTGCATTTAACCATCAGGATAGAGGTGACAGTGTCACTGAGTTAACTGTTGTTGCTTATAGTGTTAGAAACATTCTGGTCATTGCAGATACACAATATATATATACGATTGTTATAAAAATGATCAAATGAAAAAGTACAGCTCAGGAACAGGCCCTTTAGCCCTCCAAGCCTGTGCTGACCATCATGCCCTAATTAATCTAAAAACAAACCTGCCATTTTTCGATCCGTACCCCTCTATTTCCTCCCTATTCATGTACCCATCTAGGTGCCTCTTAAATGTCTTCAATGTACTCTCTTCCACCACCACTTCTGGTAGAGAATTCCAGGTTGCTACCACTCTCTGCATGAAAAACTTCCCTTGCACATCTCCCTTAAACTTTCCCCCTCTGACGTTGAACCTGTGCCCCCTTGTAATTGAAACTTCAACCGTGGGAAGAAGCCTCTGACTATCCACCCTATTTATGTCTCTCATAATTTTGTAGACCTCTATCAGGTGTGGTAATGACTGACAGTTTATCCACAGGAGGAGCTGAAGATTTGCAATCTGGTCTTCTCATTGAGGATAGAGGAAGAGATACGATACAGGGATGCTCAACTTAATTACATACTCGAAGAGCAGAAGGATTTCATGGTACAAAATATGAACAGAAGTAGATCCACAACTGTATATTATTGACAAAAAATAATTGTCCTATTTTGTATAGAATTGATTCTTAATTTTCCTCATTGACCTCTGTCCCTTACTGTTTATTTCCAGGATTACAACTGTCCCATTTTTCACAACTGCACAGCTGCAATTCTGCAGATGGCCACAGGGTGACAGTAGATTGGGGTAGATGGTGACTTGCAGCCGCCATCTTTATAGGGGACAGCAGGTGGCTGCCATCTTTAAAAGGGGCAATGTTCAGTCACCCTCAACTGGGAAGCTGGATAAGAGTGTTCACTGCATTTTCTGTCAATAGGAAGTATGGGGAGCTTGACTTGCTAAGTATACAGAATCATAACTGTTTTACAAACAGCTTTTCACATTGATAGTTTTTTTAAAAATATTGTTATGAGTGCAGTGGAATCTTACAAATAATCTTATCATATACCCCCTCTTCATCCCTCCCTCCCATATTATGGTCATGAGCACCTGCCACCTGTGGTATAGGACCTTACCCCAGTACACTGTCTTATGGGATTGGACTGATTCCAGTCCTATACATATCAACCTAGCAGGCAGTTGGCCATTCAGGCCTGCTCCTCCATTCAACAACATTATAACTGATCTGATTGTAACCGCAAATCAACATTCCCAGCTATCCCTGATAAACTTTGGCTCCTTTTTAGTCAAGAAGCCTCTGCCTTAAGGACATTCAGTGACTTCGTCTCACCCCTCTCTGGGGAAGAGAATTCCAAAAACTGACTACTCTCTGAGAGAAACAATTTGTTTGCATCTCCATCTTAAATAGGAGATTTCTTATTTTTAAAAACTAGTTTAAACCCTAGTTCTAGTCCCTCCCAGAAGGGAAAATGTTATTTCAGCGTCCACTTTGTCCAATCTCATCAGGATTTTAGTTGGATCTCCTCTGATTCTCCTAAATCCAATGCGTACAGGCCCAGTCTACTAAACTTTTCTCATAAGAGAACCCGTTCAATTATGCGATCATGGGATTGATGGTTTATAATCATATTGCTGAACTGTTACTTTTATCACATTACAAAATTGTCTATAAGAGGACAGATTATTGGTGTTATTTAGGTGAACTAGTTATAGTGTTTGCATGATCTTTTCAGTATTGACCCTGTTCTTTCAACATGACAGGCTGTAAAGTCTCAGATGACACAGAACATGAAAGTGATGGTGGACCGATTCCGAGAGAGCTATGATGACCTGGTGGCTGAAGACAGAGTAAAATAATTAACATTTCTTATTTCATTGGGATTAGAGCATATCCAGTACTAAGAGTGGGGATCAGAAAACACAGAGAGGGGAGAGAACAATGCTAGGTTTAGGGAGTGGTCAACCTTCATGTAGGGAGTGTAAAACACTGGTGTTAGGGAATGGACAACACTGGATTGGGGGCAGTGTAAAACACTGGGTTTAGGAAGTGGTCAACCTTGGTGGAGGGAGTGGTCAACCTTCATGTAGGGAGTGGACAACACTGGGTTTAGGAAGTCAACAACACTGGGTTCAGGGAGTAAACAACACTGGGTTTAGGAAGTTGACAACATTGAGTTCAGGGAGAGGACAACACTGGGTTTAGAGCGTGAACAACGTTGTGATTAGGGTGTGGACAGCCTTGTAATTAGAGAATGGACAACACAGATTTGGAAGTACACAATACTGGGATTAGTGATTGGGACGGACCTGTTTTTAAAGAGTGAACGAATTTGTGACTTAAGGCCCAGATAAGGTTTGTACAAAACTGGCCTTAGGGATCACGCAATTTTGAGAAGCAAGGACCATGAGATTTTGTTCAATTGCAACCTTGTTTACTGTCCACAAGCCTACTTGCAGCTCGGCTGACTGATAAGCAGTGAAGTGCTGGGAACCCAGTGTCCTGATCAGGAGCTTTGAAACTCCTATCCTGCACCAACTCTGTTCTAGTTCACAATAGCTCTGGCATACAGGATCAATTGCTCTGTGAGCTTTGGGTTTCTCCCTGTGGGCCAGGAAGCACTCAGCTATGTCTGGTTTACCTTTCTTTCTAATACATAATCTGTCTCTTGTTTCTCCTCAGCTCCTGGATCGTGGATTCAGGAGGGAGTTCTCTGATGTCTCTGCTGCAATGGTCGACCAACTTTATAAATTATACAAACGCAGACCCAAGTGAGTGACCCCACACGCAGCACAACACTGCCCAGTGAGTCACCAACACACAGTAAAACACTGCCCAGTGAGCGACCCACATGCACAGCACAACACTACCCTGTGACTGTTACACAGACTGTCTCCAGACCAGGACAACTCACTATTATCTGCCCTGACTATATATTGACATGTTGTGTTGTGGCTCGTGAAGTCTCAGTTTTCAGAAGAACTCATTGAATATGAAGATGCTGTATGTTTCGGAGTAATCCCACTGTGTTTTGATGCTGCTCCCTGCAAGGGTGTGTCTGGGGCCTTTGGTTTCTATCTGTTAACCCAGGTTCTAAAGTACATTTTCTCGCTCTGTTTAGGGTACAAACGCAAAGGATCCAAGTGGCAACAGCCAACCCTTTTGAGGACCAATCGCAGTTAGTCAAAGACAGCCATGCCAGTTTTCTGGCTGCCATGGTGGATTTAGATTCGCTTGATTTCAAACCTGAGAACCTGGACCCTGCCGTGTGGGATCGGTTCTGTGAAAGTAGGAGGAAAAAAATAGAGAGTGAACATCAGGTGAAAGAGAGATTCCTCTGTTTGTGCTCAGTTCAGCTCCTGATGGGTGTGTTCAGTTTGTGATTTAAGTGGTTCCAAATACTTGAGCTGACTGAACTCCTGGTGGGAGGTCCAGGGTAGGCATTTCAGGCAGCTCACCTGGCACCTCACTGAATGTGTCTAGATGGGAAGCAGGTAATCCACCCCAGTTCCATTTCTCTGAGAGGATAAAACTAAATATGTTCAAACCCAGAGTCATCTATCAAATACAAATACTCTGCAAATTCTCCAACATGATTCCGGGTCTAAACAAGTTAAATTATCAACTACAGTTCCACAGATGAAGCTTTTATTCCCTTGAGTTTAGAAGAGTTTTATTTCGAGTTCCCTCAGCAATCTGCCCATAAATGAGAGCAAAATAAAAGTTTACCTGGTGACTTAATTAAGGTGCTTAAGAGGATAAAACAATTCAAGTCGACAGACAAAAATTATTTCCTCTGATGTGGGGAGTCCAGAACAAGAGGCAAGAACATTAAGATTTAAGCCAGGTAGTTAGAGTCGATGTCAGTTTGCACTTCTTCACACAAAGGGAAGTGCACATCTGGAAAAGTGGGTGGGCTTATGACAAAGATGACATGAGAACATAGGAACAGGATTAGACAATTCAGCCCATTGAGCAGCTCCTCCATTAAATACAATCATGGCTGATCACCCGTTTCAATGCCTGTTTACCCACACTACCCCATTTTTTCTTTGCATCATTAGCATTCACTAATCTGTTAATCACTACCATAAATATTCTCAAAGACCAAACTTTCAGCTTGAATAAAAACATTTCTCCCACTCTCACTTTTAAGTGGCTTTGCCCTTATTTTGAGATTGTATCCCCTGGTCCTACATTACCCAACCGGGGAAACTCTCTATCCCTTTGAATACTTTGCAAGTTTCAATGACATCTCCCCTCATTCTTCGAAACTTTAGAGAACAAAAGCCCAGTTTCCCCAATCTCTTTTCAAAGGGCAGTCCTACTGTCCCGGGAACAAATTTTGTGAACCTTCATTGCACTCCCTCTATAGCAATAACATCCTTGCTAAGATAAGGAGACCAAAAACTGTACACAGTACCCCAGGTACAGTCTAACCAAGCTCCTATACAATTGAAGCATAACTTAGCTAATCCGCTGCTCAATTATCTTGCAATAAAGGCTAACATTCCATTAGCCTTCTTAATAATTAACTGCATGTGAGCCTTCAGTGATTTATCAACAAGGACACACTTTGTGCATCTGCACTTTCCAATCTCTTACCATTAAAGAAATTATCTGCACAACTGTTCCTCCTACTAAAGTCGATAATCTCACATTTTTCCCCATTAAGTTCATAGGCTGAGATTCTTGTTGGGTAAGGCTATAAAGGGTTATAGAACCAAAGCTAGTTAATGGAGTTGAGACACAGATCACCCATGATCTAACCAAATAGCGAAACAGGGTTTGAGGGGCTGAATGGTTTTCTTGTATCTTCCTTGCAAAGCTTCCTGCTGTTTCAGACTGTCCTAAATGTGATCACCATCCCTTCCCATTAATACAGCTGATCCACAGATTCTAGATTTGGGATTTAAAGAAAAGTCTGATTGTAGTAAACCGTCAGACTGTAGTGTCATCTGTTCAAGACCCTGAACCGGAAGTGCGGCGATGTCTGTGTGATAGGCAACTGCTAAGGTCAGTGCCTTACTTATGCTAGTGGATAGAAGGCACTTGCTCCTGCACCAAAGGTGGTGGCAACTGAGATTCTTGGTTTTAGATTTTTCTATTAAAGCCTGAAGATCATGTGTCTGGTCATTTCTCAGGTGAAACTGAAGGCTGTGACTCTGGCAGAGATGCAGATGTTCCTTCAAAGGAGGATGGAGGAGGATGAAAATAATGCACAAATTATCAACAATTTGATCCAGGAACTCAACAAGTCAGTCCCATTTTACATTAAGTATATGGCAGTCAGGGAATTTCTGAAAAAGGGAAAAAAGTCACTTACCACCCTTATACTGGTACCTTGGCATCTCAATCAAGAGACTGTGCATTCAAGCGCAGTCTGAATACTTAATCCTATAATCTGTGTTGACACACCATTGCAGAACTGAGGGATTGCTACACTGTCAGGAGTGCCATTGTTAGGATGAGGAATTAAGCCTCAGATTGGCCTGCGCTGTTGGGTGGGTGTCTGAGATCCTACGGTCATCATTTGGAGATCAAAGAAGTTCTTCATGACGTTGAGTAACTAATAGTTAACTCTCAGGAAAACAGTGAAACAGAATACCTGAGATAACAAGGTGTAGAGCTGGATGAACACAGCAGGCCAAGCAGCATCAGAGGAGCAGGAAGGCTGACGTTTCGGGCCTAGACCCTTCTTCAGAAAT